CTTTCCATCATCATCCGTGAAAAAACTGAAGCTTCCTGTCCATTCTAAAAGGAGCTGATGTCTCTAATCTTCATTTCTAGGCAATCCATGGGCAGTAGGTAAGCACAGCTTCTACTCAAATTAATGAAAATTGTGATGAGCAACTATGTGGGACAGTAGTTTATAGTCACTAACCATCAGCTAACACAGATTAATGTAAAGAGAAAGCAACTAAAAAGGAAGGGTTAAGTTAAAAATAATTAAGTTTAGAGCAAACAAAAAAAAAACTTGACCAATATATGAAAGGTGAGGGGAAAAAAGTAGATGCATAAAAAATCAAAGTTGAATTCTCTTCCAGCACAGGACTAACTTTATAGGAAATATATCAAAATGTGGTGAACAAATCAAAAGGCATTTAGAAAGAGGCTTAAGATCCACAATCAAATGTAATATATGAACCTTGGTAGATCTTCACTCAAACAAGCTTACTATAAAAGACATTTTTGGAGAATCAGGGTAATTTGGGTATTCTATGATAATACAGAATTATCATTGTTAGATGCCATTACAATGTTATGGTTATGTAAGAAAATTTCCTGAATTTCTAGTGGCACACTAAAATACTTAGGAATTGGAATGCCATGATATGTGGTATCTACTTTGAAATACTTCAACAAAGAAAATAACATCGACCAGGCACAGTGGCTCATTCCTATATTCCCAGCACTTTGGAAAGCCGAGGTGGGAGGATCACTTGGGCCCTGGAGTTTGAGACCAGCCTAGGCAACATTGTGAGATCCTGTCTCTCCAAAAAAAAATTTTTTTTAAAGCCCAGGTGTGGTGGAATACGCCTGTAGTTCCAGCTATTACTCAGGAGGCTAAGGCAGGAGGATCTTGAGCCCAGGAGTTCGAAGCTGCAGTGGGCTATGATTGCACCACTGTACTCCAGCCTGGGCAACAGAGCAAGACCCTGTCTTTATTTAAAAAAAAAAAAAGAAAGAAAGAAAGAAAAGGAAGTAACATCAGTAAGACAGATAACAAATGTTAACAAGGGATAAGGGTAGTGTATACTATTCTCTCTATTGTTACACATTTTTAAAATATTTTAAAATTGCATTGTGTTTTAATAAAAGGGGGACAGAAAGCCTGATAAAATATCCCATCCATCCATGCATAGAGTTGTAATAAGGTTGGCTGCCTGAGTCAAAGAAGGAAATGGCTAAAACCAAGTTTATCTTCGATTACAAAGATACCTGAGGAAAATTTTTATACTGCCTTTGTGGGACAAACTGTATAATGTAGGCAAGAGGAGCACCTGCCTTCAATTTTGCTGGCAAACTATCAAAATTCTCCACAATGGAGGTGAAGTGAGGGATGGTAGGAGGCTAATTATTAAACAGCTTTACAACTGAATCAAGGCTACGGGGAGAAGATGGGCACATCCCCGTCAACTCCGTCCCTTCCACTCTCTGACCTGGAGCCCCACTGTCTTGGAGCCAAGGATCTCATTAGGTTCTATCTAAAGAGAAGGTGAATTCTGTCCCTCCTTTATTGGGAAATCTTTACAAAGTCTCCCATATTGTGGGCTACTTTTTCAAATGCTATTTTGAACAACAAAGTACCACATGGAAGAAGATATCTCAATTACTGCACATTTTAGATGCTTATAAGGTCACTGCTAACTTTACAATGCAGAAAAAAAATTATAATATGGTAAGTGTTCCTGAGAGAATGCGCTCAAAGTACAAGAATAGGATGTAGTCGGGCAGGGCACGGTGGCTCACGCCTGTAATCCCAGTACTTTGGGAGGCCGAGGCGGGTGGATCACGAGGTCAAGAGATCGAGACCATCCTGGTCAACACGGTGAAACCCCGTCTCTACTAAAAATACAAAAAAAGTTAGCTGGGCGTGGTGGCGCGTGCCTGTAATCCCAGCTACTCGGGAGGCTGAGGCAGGAGAATTGCCTGAACCCAGGAGGCAGAGGCTGCGGTGAGCCGAGATCGTGCCATTGCACTCCAGCCTGGGTAACAAGAGTGAAACTCCGTCTCAAAAAAAAAAAAGAATAGGATGTAGTTGTAAATAAGCCTTTAATATTAAAGATCACTTTAAAAAGCAATCTGGCAAGTGGTTACTTTGTGGAGATTAGACATCTATCTACAAGAAGTATGAAAACAGGTACTTAGCTGGGAATACAATTTTTAAAGATTTATCAGATAAGGATCAAAAGACAGCTTGTATTAAAAACCGCTTAGATGAAGAGAAGATGATGTGCTTTGCAAAATGCATTAGGTGACTCAAAAAGTGGCTCCAGTGATGAGCAGCTCTCCAGCGTCGGCAACTGATGTGAAGTTTGAAGCACATTCTTTTCACAAAGAAGGTGAGAGTGCTTTTGAAATAGGATGACCAAGAAGGTGAGGGATCTGGGGACAGCTAGTTTGTAGAAGGCAAGACCTATTCAGTAAGGACCTACAGGGTAAAGACCTGTAAGATACAAATGGTACATAATAAATGTCTCTGCAAGTATTTGAAGAAGCAGAGTTGATTTATTGGTTTTTTTACAAAGCAGAAATTAAATGAACGAATGGAATTTATATGGAGGTAGATATTTGATCAATAAAAGCAAGGATTTTATAGTAACCGGCTCTGTCCAACACTGAATTTGAAAAGCCATGTGTAAGTTAAGCCTTCGTGACCAAATATAAGGAATGAAGTTGAGGCAAATTGCCTTTATGGTCCTTTCAATGACCAGATTCCATGAATTTATCAAATGATCTCCAAGCTGGCAACAAAGTTGATAACTGCATTTATTTTTAAATATACAGTTGGCCTTCTGAATTTGTGTGTTCTGCATCCATGGGCTCCACTGAACAGCAGACTGAAAATATTCAGAAAAAAATGTAATAAAAAATAATACCACCACTATATATACACTTTCAAACTGATGACTTTGTGCTGTTGACTGATCTCCTTGTGAGATTAGTCATAAAAAGGAATGAAATCATGTCTTTTGCAGCAATATGGAGGCCAACATGAAATAGAGACCATTACCCTAAGGGGAATCATTCAGAAACAGAAAGTCAAATATTGCATGTTCTCACTTACAAGTGGGAACTAAACAACAGGTCGACATGGACATACAGAGAGGAGTAGCGGGCATTAAAGACTCCAAAAGCAGGGAAGAGGATGCTGGTTGAAAAATCACCGATGGAGTGCAACGTTCACTATTCAGGTGACAGGTGCACTAAAAGCTCAGACTCCACCGCTGTGCAACATATCCATGTAACAAAACTGCACATACACCCTCCTAATCTCTAAAAATTAAAACAATTTAAATATACACATATTAAGTCAGTGTGTGTACAGGCATCAAAAAATAACAATACCACAATAGAAAAATAAAAATAAAAAAAATACAGTATAACAACTATTTGCATAACATGTACATTGCATTAGGTATTATAAGTAATGTAGAGATGATTTAAAATATACCATAGAATATGTGTCGGTTATATGCAAATATGATTCCATTCTATAGAAGGAACTTCAGCATCCGCAGATTTTGGTAGCTTTGGGGGTCCTGGAACCAACATTCTTTGGATGCCAAGGGATCATTATACTGTTTTCATTTATCGCGCTTTTTTTTTAGACTGGCTGCTCTGTAAGAATCATTACATTAAGTTTTATGTGTAACAAAACATATACAAAAATGATAGAAATGTACAATCAAGGAAGGTTATATATATGCATGCACGTTAACATGTACCATAGCATGTATAACATCCCATTCCTTGCCTGGGCTTTGTCCTAAGATTAAAGCAGATATGCAACAAAGGCATGATCTAGTTACAATTTTCAACTTTTTCTAGGGTGTATTTTGATTGCCTTGTCTCTAGGCCAGACTATCTGCCTGTCCAAGAATAAACTGATTCATCCACAGTGAAGGTATGAGTCAAATATTTTGGCTTTGCTCTGAAGCCTTTCTTGGCTTGGACACGAGACACTGGGACTTTGTCTTCCAATTTCCCAACCTGTTCTCAAATCATCTCAAAAACTATTAAACAAAGAATTAACAATGGGAATTATCCAACAGAGCTTCCAAATACAACATCTAATAAAGCAACGTTGAAATTACATAAAACTTTTGGTCACTAATTTCTGTCCTTGATCACAAGGAGATTAGTCAATAGTGCAAAGTCATCAGTTGGAAAGCAACCCTACACAGCAAAACAATTCCAGGGCTAGAAGTACCAATGAAACACAACTCTTTGGTATATGAAGCATCATAAACTTCCTAACACAGTGGAGGAAAAGCGGATACTCTTGCAATATAATGATACTTAATGATATAAACACAAGTAAAACATTAAACTGAGATAATTACATTTGAAAAAGTCACCTTCGAACAATTTTTTTTTTTTTTTTTTTTTTTTGAGATAGAGTCTTGTTCTGTCACCAGGCACCAGGCTGGAGTTCAGTGGCACAATCTCAGCTCACTGCAACCTCCGCCTCCCGAGTTCAAGCAATTCTCCTGCCTCAGCCTCCCCAGTGGCTGGGACTACAGGCACGTACTACCATGTCCTGCCCATTTTTGTATTTTTATTTTTATTTTTTATTTTATTTTATTTTGAGACGGAGTTTCGCTCTTGTTACCCAGGCTGGAGTGCAATGGTGCGATCTCAGGTCACCACAACCTCCGCCTCCTGGGTTCAGGCAATTCTCCTGCCTCAGCCTCCTGAGTAGCTGGGATTACAGGCACACGCCACCATGCCCAGATAATTTTTTGTATTTTTAGTAGAGACAGGATTTCACCATGTTGGCCAGGATGGTCTTGATCTCTTGACCTCGTGATCTGCCCTCCTCAGCCTCCCAAAGTGCCAGGATTACAGGCTTGAGCCACCGTGCCCAGCCCTCTTCAAACAATTTTTAAAAATCACAAGCAGGGGCTATATAAACCATTCAACATTTTTTCCTCAAATAATCTGCAAATAAAAGTTTTCTCAGTTCTAATCTGAGAAGCTGACCTGAGATTGCTGAAAAAGGATGCTTTTTTCTGGGTTTATGCCGCAGGCGAGGAGAGTGGCAGTCATGTCCAGGATGCTCTGCCGAAGGACAGCGGGGTCTTGGGGGACAGTGATGGAGTGAAGGTCAACAATGCTGTACAGCACAGAGTCATATTCATCCTGCAACCTCACCCAGTTCTCAATGGCTCCCAGGTAATTGCCCAGATGGGGGATTCCTGTAGGTTGAATGCCAGAAAACACTCGCTTCTTGCTGTCTTTCTGGAACAAAGGAAAACAATCATATTTGCTTTTGAGGCAGAATCCATGAATCTGATGCCCACGTTATCACAGCTATGGGAGCTAGTTCTATTTTTGTAAACTACAATCTGACAGTCATGATTGTCCATTTATTTTGGGCCTACTCTGTAACTCTCTATGCTAGGTACTACTAAGGACAAAAAAATGATATTAAAAATGTTTTTGCACTCAAACGTGTACAAATGCAAAGATGTATAAGAAAAGATCAGCAGCCGGGTGCGGCGGCTCATGCCTGTAATCCCAGCACTTTGGGAGATCGAGGAGAGTGAATCATCTGAGGTCAGGAGCTCGGGACCAGCCTGGACAACATGGTGAAACCCCGTTTCTACTAAAATACAAAAATTAGCCGGCCGTGGAGGTGTGCCTGCAATCCCAGTTACTCGGGAGCCTGAGGGTGGGAGAATCGCTTGAACCTGGGAGGCAGAGGCTGCGGTGAGCCAAGATAGCATCACTGCACTTCAGCCTAGGCAACAGAGCGAGACCCCATCTAAAAAAAAAAAAAAGAAAGAGACGAGAAGGGAGGAGAGGGGAGGGGAGGGGAGGAGAGGGGCGGGGATCTGCATCCAAGAGAATGTGATCTAATTGGAGACAGACGATATCGTCCATAAAAAGGTAAGTAAAGGTATAATGCGGTACCATGATCACGGCCAGTTTGGAATGATACAGAGTAGGGTTCAGAGAGGAATTCCCAAGAGGAAAAGAGAACTGTGGTTTGGTGGTCAATGAGGAAGCCTTCAGACATAGAATCAAATTTCACTGGAGATTAAAGGGGCCTCAAGGGCTTTTCATGTGATTTCATTTATTTTGCAGTTAAGGAAATGAAGGCCTTGGGATCAGACTACTAAAGACTACTGCTGTTGCCTTAAGATTTTTTTAAAAATACCGTTGATATTCTAATTTAATGTATAAGATCTTGGGCTAGAAATTAGGAAACATACACTCTATTTCTAATATTATTTCCTAATAAGATTATTTAAATTTTCTATGCCTGGGTTTCCTTTTAACTTTTAATAAAACCATATTTGGGTTTTCAATTATTCAAAAGAAGATTTTAATTCTAGACAATTATTTAAATTATAAAAAACATTTGTACCCTGGTCATGTTTTCCCTTTGGTTTATACTTCCTAATACTGAAGTTATAATAGGAAAATGAAAAGAAAAAAATGCAATACAAATTTTTAAAAATGCTATTTTCCCCTGAATTATTTTACAATACATTCCACAGTGAAAAACCAAACATCAGTATGTATCAATAAATGTGCTGTAATCAAAAGGCTCTGAAGAATAAAATGCCTTGTTATCATTTTTAACCAGCTCCACAACAAAACAGTAAGAGCAGCAATAATTTACTGAACAGCTACCATGTTGCAGGCATTTACGCTCAGTGCTTTATATAAATTAATGCATTTAATCCTTATAATACCTTTTATTGCAGGCATATTATTATCTCCAATTTCCAGATGAGAGAAGTAAGGCTCACAGAATTTACTAGATTGCCCATGGTCACACAGCTAGTAGGTGGAGAAGTTGAGGTTTCAGGCCAAGTATCACTCTCGTCAAAGCCCATGTATGTTCCCTCTACTAGCTACCGTCTATTAAGACTTTATCATATTCATTGTATTAATTTTGTAACTTTTCAGTTGGTTTAAAAATTTGCAAAACAAAAATTCACGGGGACAAAAAAGACCATTCTTACACAGGTATCTTTGCACATTATGAGCCAAGTTTTTCTAGTGTCTATACCTAGGAGAATTGCTGAGTCAGATGTATGTGTATGTATCTTCAACCGCAGTACTTCCAAGTGGTGAACTATTCCTAACTATGTAACATTATACACTTTCTACCTAGCTCCTGTGGTTTCATATCCTCATCAACACTTGGTATTGGCAGTCTTTTTGTTTTTGCCTAATCTAATGGAAATGAGGTAGAATCTCAGTATGGTTTGATTCTCTTTGATTATTAAAGAAGTTGAGAACTCTTTTTATGATTATTGGCTACTTTTACCTCCTCTTCTATGAAGAGCCTACTTAAATTATTAGGCCTATTTTTCTCAGATTGGATTGTCTTTTATTGATTTAAGAAGGTATGTATTCTAGATGCTAATATTCTGTCAATTACATGTAGAGCGAATATTGTCTTACTGTGTGGCTGTCTTCTCTTTATGTTATCTTTTAATAAAGACAAGCACTTAATTTTACAAATCAAATATATAACTTCTGATAACAGACTACTGTATCATAGAAGAAATCTTTCAATGCCCTGCAGTTATGAAGGTGCATGTGTGTGCGTGCATATATGGATATATACGTATAGCTGTACACACAAATGTAGACATATATAAAATGTGTGTGTGTGTGTGCATGTGTGTTTGGGCTTTAAAGTTTTATCTTTACTCTTCACATTTAGGTCTGTATCTATCTGGAGTATTTTGCATATGGTGTCAGATAAGCATCTAATTTCTTCTTTTATTCCCTATATGAATATCTGATTATTCTAGCACCATTTATTGAAAAGACTGTCTCTTCCTACTGCTTTGAAATGCCATCTCCATAAAAAATCAAGGATCCCTGTATGAAGAATCTGGTAAGGGTCTGGTCTTTCAATTCTGACTCATTAGTCTATCTGCAACTGTGTCATTATCACATTGCTTTTTAAAAATAGCGGGTGGATCACGAGGTCAAGAGATCAAAACCATCCTGGTTGACATGGTGAAACCCCATCTCTACTAATAATACAAAAAAAAAAAAAATTAGCTGGGCATGATGGTGCGTGCCTGTAATCCCAGCTACTCAGGAGGCTGAGGCAGGAGAATTGCCTGAACCCAGGAGGCAGAGGTTGCAGTGAGCCGAGATCGCACCATTGCACTCCAGCCTGGATAACAAGAGCGAAACTCCATCTCAAAAAAAAAAAAAAAATACATCTTGGGACCTAGTAAAGTGAGGCTTTCCACCTTCCTTTTCTTCAAGAGCACTTTACCCATCCTTGGCCCTTTACACATATCAATATATTTTAGAATCATCTTGTCAAGTCTCAAGAGGAAAAAAAAACCTGTTGATTTTTTCTTCTTTTGAGGTCAGATTAGAAGCTGCAGTTGTTGGCTGGGGTTGCTGATGGGGATCACACTGCAGCCATAGATTGTTTCAAGGAGAACTGGCATCTTTATAATGTTGAGTTCTCCTATCCAGAAGGCCACAAAGCATGTTAGGTCTTTTTTATACCTAATACTAGCTCTGAAAGCGAATCTACTTTTGATACGTGAGTGGCAAGGCCACTTAAATTTGGCATTTCCAAACCCTACAAGTATAGTCTATTTTCCTCTCAACTCGTAAGATGGCAGTCGTAAGACGGAGTGCTGCACCACAGTTCCATGGTCCAGAACCGTGCTTGATCCAAGAACTCGGGAGGAGATGCAAAGGGCTTGTGGCTCTGAGGATATAAACAATGTCACTAAGGTGACTGAGAACAAATAGAATCTTACACTCAGAATCACAAACATGCACAGAAAGGGCTTTTAAGTGATGAAATCCCCAAATCATAATTTAGAAACAATATTTTAAAAATAATTCCTACTTGAGAATTGAGACAGAGAGAGAAGTTAGCGCAGAATGAGTACCTATTAGTAAGGCTTCCTCCAGGACCTAGCAACCTTAACCAGCTCTGGGTTCCTGATATGGGAATAAGCCAAGGAATTTTCAGTGCAGCAAGAATGATTAATGGGCTTTGGGGACTGATTGATGAAGAGAGAAAGCGAAGCAGAAAAACAAACTCTGAAGTTAATAAATGGAAAGGAAAAAAATGCCATCCTGAAATACTTGACCTAAGAAGATAAGGGACTGTTTACGGTAATGTAAAGGGTTATGAAGACTAGGAATTTTATGTTGAAAAAACTGGGGATTTTTCACATATATTCCTCCATCTTCAAACTCAGAAATTATTCCCCAGGAGAAATGGAGAAAACATATTCTTGAGAAAACTGGAAGAGAAAAGCAGCAGAGAAAAGACTGTGGGAAAAAAAGTATTGTGACCAGTGGGAATGGGGTAGACAGGATTTAATACATCTTTTCCATTCTCTAGTTTCTGAGATTCTAGACGTTAGTGTAGAGGGAATGATATTATCAGGCGATGAGAGCAACAAGCAGTGTTTTGTTCATTTTTCAAGGCGCTATTAAAAAAATACAGCCTCTAAATGGGAACTGGATTCCTGGTCTTAAAAATATACAGAGAGCGTCCTGCTCTTCTGCAGTGAGTTTATGTTCCCGTCTGTTCCCTCTGCAAGAGTCAGCAGGTGGCCCGACGGCATGGCAGGGGAGACATGCCAGGTATCATGAAATCACGGGGTTGGAATGTGGAGTTCGGGTGGTGGGAGGATGGGGGTTCTGTGTTCAAAAGCGCTAGAGTTAGAAAAGAATGAAAACGAAAGGAGCTTGGCCTTCCCATGGGTTTGGACAGGAGACAAACCATAAAGAAAACAGCTTCTAGCCTAGCCCACAGGCATTCATTCAAGGGGAAGCCTGCAGCATCAACCTGCAATTCCACTGCAGTAGGCAGAGGATAAAAAAGAAGTGTGTTATAAAGTAGGTCTTCATTTCATTTCAGGTGTATTTCCTTGTTAAATGCCACTTCCCACCAATACATTTCTTGGCTCATTTTTATAACAGAACCAGCAGTACCAAATCCCTGGGGAGCTTCAGGCCTGGGATTTCATATATACCAGAAGGGAGGATGGGTATTCAAATCAAACGTAGAGTATACTTATCATTTTAACAGACATTGCTGAAACTATTCCTGTTGTACTGAGCACATCCAAAATGTATAAATTCCTTAATTTTCTTACTCTACTGAAAACCAACTGAAAAATCCCAAGTTATTAATACGGCAAAAGAATTTTTGTGATTAACTTAAGAGAGCTTCTGTCTTTAATTTCAAGTGAATAAGATACATTAAGAGAACACTGCCTGCT